TCTGCTAGGTGCTGGGGATGCAGAGACAAGGAAGACACAGCCCCTCCAGATATGCAGGGTGAGAACAGGGAGGGGAGAGCAGGGAAACCAACAGAGCCATGTTAACCAGCTCTGTGGCAGCTGCTAGATTTCAGCCCCCTTCATGCTGGGTGACCTTGGGCAAGTCACTTAACCTCTTAAAGTGGCCTCAGTTTCCCCATTTGCTTTCTTTGTTGGGATAACGACAGCTGTCAGGTGACAGGGCTGTTGTGAGATGGCAGTGGCACGGTGCACACAAGGCCCTTAGCACCAGGCCTGGCCCACAGGAAGAAGGAGATGTCAGGTCCTGTTATTTTCAGGGTGCAGAGGGAAGGCATGAAAGGGGGTGTGGTGCTCTCCTCTGGCCAGGAAAAGCTCCTGGGAAAGGGCTCGTTTGAGGCTGGTCTTGGAAGGTGGGTCATTCTGTGTAAGACGGGGTTTAGGCTGGACCCAGGTGGCTCTGAGACCCCTAGTTTCCAGGTGACATTCTGGTGTTTCCCAGGCATTCTCCAGCAGCCCTGAGAACCCCAGCAGCATACTTTGGCTACCACATTGCTCTTGTCCGCCATCCTGCCCAAGTCCCCTTTAATGCCATTTGAAAGGTCACAACCACCGTCTGTGGCTCCCAGGCTTCCTGGAGCTCTAACACACCACCAGCAAATGGATAAGCCTTTTCCTTCTCCAGCTTCCTGGCTCTCTGCTTGAGCACTGTGGTTGAAAGGAGGATGCACCAACCTCAGCCCCGCCTTCTAACCATCCTTTCCCTGTTCTTGCCGGCCTCTCCCACTGGCCCCAGGGTTTACAGAAACACACGGAATGTTGGATGTGGAAGGTGTCCGCTGAAGTTTCCCCGCCCACCCACACGCATCCCCACCACCAGGACCCTGAAGTTGTCTGCAGCAAAGCGTATACACTTTTTACAAAATAATTCTTTCCTCCCTGGTTCGTATTATTCATTTTGAAAGCCTCGCACAGACCACAGCACTGCGCCCGCTCTGTGGGTCTAGCCCATTCTCTCCATCAGGAACCTGGGCCTCCAGTCCACCTCCTCCGCCTTCTCCTCCTCTTTTATTTCAGCGGCCCATGATTGGAAAGGAGCGGCCCCCCTCTTCCTCCCAAGTCCACAATTGTCACCGCCAATTAGCGCATTGTTAGGACACACAATGGCGTTACTGTAGCCAGTGGAATGGGCGGCCTTTGTACTTCTCCAGCCGGCCGTGGGGCAGTCAAGTTTCATTTAGAGACTTAAAACACAACGCCAGGAGGAAAATGCTATCAGAAAAGCAAAAAGGAAAAAAGAGAGAGAAGGAGGGGAGGGGAAGCACAAAAAAAAAAAGAAAAGAAAAAGAAGCAAAGGAGAAGGTGAAAATGAAGAGGAAGGAAAAGAAAGGCAGGCGGCAAATGTTGAAAAGGAGAGGAGGAAAAAAACCTGCCATTGAGGCGTCAGCCCGAACTCATGAAAGGACGCGAGTGGTCGCTGCGCACTGAAGTCCCCCCTCAGCACACAAAAGGGGCTCGGGCTTAACAGTAATTAGTGGTCTGATTGTGCTCGGAACACTGTGTGTCTTTAGAGGATTTTTCCAACTTTTCTATTTTTTTTTCAGTCTTAACAAATAAAGGAGGTAGAAGGAGAAAGGTCGGGGCTGGGGGAGGCAGGGGGCCTGCCAGCCGCATCCCCCCACCCCGCCCCAGCAGTCCCGGGGTGGGGGTGCTCAGCCTTTTTCTTTGACAGGTAAATTGGATTTTATTCTCTAAAGCATATAACTAATTACAGAGCGTGTTTTTCTGTAAGAACGTGACATATGGGTGCGTTTTAGAGTCACTGTTGTGTTTGTTTCAAGTGGCTTTTGAGCCGCCTGGCCCTTTTTGCAGCCCAGAAGATGCCCCCAGAGGCCCAGCTCTTTCATCCGGAGCCCACGGGTTGTGGATTGGTTCTGTCAGCAAAACGTTTATGTCCAGGGCAGCTTTTTTCTGCCTGTAAAATTAATATTCAAGTTTAAACACACAGCCGCCCTCAGCAAGCAGCCTTACCTTAGGAGCCGGCATTTACTCAGAGCACCTGTCAGGTAGCCTGTGGGCTGGTGTTCCCTCCCTCCCTCCCTCCTCGCCTTCCCTGAAATGACCGGATATGTTCCCTGCTTGTCTGAGCTCTCGCACAGGAAAGGGCCCTGGGCAAAGAAGCCGCCCTGACCTTGGGCTCGTCTCCTTCTCCCACCTGGCCCCCGCCACACCCTCCAGTCTCTAGAAAGTGCCAAGACTCACCAAGTCCATCTTGCCACCAAACAAGGAGATTCTTGTGTTTTTTCTAACAACATAGCCCGACACAGCTGGTTCCTAACTTGTACCTAGTTACTAGAATTTCATTTCCTTTCAAATGCATTAAATGTACCTCCCCTTTCCCTCTTCCTGGGTCAGACCAGATCCTCATTTTTTTAAACAAATAAATGGAGACATCATTTCTATGCACAGTTTAAATAAAATTTCCCCCACTTTAGAAACAAGATAGAATTGACCCAAGACCCCAAGACCATCACATTGTATAGTATAAGCAAAGGAACCTAGAGGCTGTTTCCAGGCCTTGGCCTAAGACGGGAGAAAGTCTGGGTAGAGCACCCCAAAATGTGAAGACCAGGGTTCTAATCCATATCACACCAGCACGAGGTAGCTGTAGACTTCAGTGATAGGCCGGTGTTCATGGGTAAAGGGGGCGGGCACTGTGCTGCCCCCAGGTATTGCAGTGAGGGACACCAGAGACGACCTACGAAAAGGGAGGGGTCCCTGCGCAGCCCAGCGCCGGCACGGAGCACACGTGGAGCACACGGAGCACACCTGTCTTCTTGCCCTGCGGTCTGCTGGCCAGGAGGGCTCCTGGAGTGGCCCACCCCGGTGGCCGTTTCTTTTCTCTTCCCTCCCTGTTGTCCATGCTCTTGGTGGAGGCCTTGCCGCATGCCGTCTCCCTCAGCCCCACACCACCCCCAAAAAAGGGCAGTCCCGGTTCACTCAGGAAATGAAAAGTGAAACGCGTGGAACATGGCCCATGGAATGTCACAAATACCGGCCAGGAAATGCAGGTCAGGGAGGCCAGTGAAACAATGGTGACTGGCTTCCGCGGAAGACAGTGTTTCTAGGGCTGGAGGAGAGAGGGGTGCTGACTCTGCTCCAGATCTGGGTCAGGGACACGGTCTGCCCAGAGGGAGCCGGTCAGGTAGATCCTGAACGGGTCCTTGGCCAGAGGCCTGTGGTGTGATGTTAGCCCCTCCCACTGTCCCTGCACCTGCAGCCTTTGGCTCCGGGCTGAACCTGCAAAGAAGGAGCAACGAGAGACCTAGCACAAGTCCACAAGCCCCACCTCACCTCCACACATGTCCAATCAGTGTCCTGTCATCGGCTTCACCACCTACTATCTTCCCGAGTCCTGTCCTCTTGTTCCTGTCACTTCTTCTGCCCTTGTCCTCTCTCCAGGCCATTTCAATGGCTTCTTTTTTTTTTTAAGTTATTTTTTATTTTTTTAAAAGATTTTATTTATTTATTTTTAGAGAGGGAAGGGAGAGAGAAAGAGAGAGAGAGAGAGAAACATCAATGTGCAGTTGCTGGGAGTCATGGCCTGCAACCTAGGCATGCGCCCTGACTGGGAATCGAACCTGCGACACTTTGATTCGCAGCCCGCGATCAATCCACTGAGCTATGCCAGTCAGGGCTCAATGGCTTCTTCAAAAAAAAATTATTTATGTATTTATTTATTTCTAGAACGAGGGGAAGGGAAGGAGAGAGAAAGGTAGAGAAACATCAGTGTGAGGCAGAAACATCGATTGGTTGCCTCTTGAAAGCACCCTACCGGGAACCAAACTGCTCGTGCCCTAACCGCGAATCTAACTGGCGACCTTTCACCTTGTGGGATGAGGCCCAACCTACTGAGCCACACCGGTCAGGGCTCAATCGCTTCTTAACCAACCCTCCTGCTAGGCCCTTCGGTGCTGCCCCCAACATGCTCTTGGTCAAAGGCAAGCGTGATCTTGCCTCACCTCAGCTTAGAAATCTGTCCTGTTTCTCTATCACCTTCAGGACACAGGCCAAGCTCCAAAGCATGACCAGAACACCCTTGATAACATGGTCCTGCCTTTCTCTTTAACTCCCTCTCCTGCCACCAGGGCGGCCTCGTGGGCATGCCACCTGTGCATTGCACAGGTCCCCATGTCCCTCCTGCCACCTTACTTTCCTCTAACACCAGACTTCCCACAGTGATCTAGAGTTTTTTTCTAGTTCCTTCTATTTTGAAATGTTCTTTCTATTTGCTGAGCTTCTTGTCGTCCATCTTAACCTTGCTTATACTTCTCTGAGAATCTTCCCAACTTCGCTGTCCAAATAATTCATCATCACTTTGCAAATGTCTACTTTTTGGTTTATCAGAGCTTATTATTATTTATTCTCTGCCTCAACGTATAGGTTATGAACTCCAGCACAGCAGAAATTGTGTCTTGCACAGTACCAGATTTATTTATTTTTTACATTTTTTTAAATTAAAAAATTTTTTTCAACTACAGTTTACATTCAACATCATTCGTAGTCGTATTAGTTTCAGGTGTACAGCATAGTGGTTAGACAAGCACCAGGGTTTCTAATGCTCATCTGTATGACACCGAATTAAGTGCTGCATCTCAGAAATAACTGCTTATGGGAAGTTTCATGAAGTGTTCACGCAAGGACCGCACCCGCACTGCTTGTGCAGATTCACTGCAACGCTGCATATCTTCACTCCAGCCTCACTTGGGTCCCTCAGGGCCATGGCACAGGTCACTGCAGACTGGGACCCGCCAAAGGGCCTCTGCTCAGTGGCGAGCCTTAAAGTAACACTGTCCAGTATGACATCCTGCAGTGGCAGAAGTGTCCTGGACAGCTGCACTGCCCTGTACAGAAGCCACCAGCCACGTGTGCTATCGAGAACTAGAAACATAGCTAATGCAACTGAGAAACTGGATGTTTAATTTAATTTTATTTTATTTTAATTAATTTAAATGTACACAGCCACCTGTGGCCAGAAGCTCAACATCGGACACAGCCTTCCATGATGTTGCGGCTTGTGGCCGCGGGCCGGGCAGCCTCTCTGCTCCCAGGCCTTCCTGCTCCAGAAAAACTTCCCCACAAATCGCAGGCCTCCTGGGGAGAAAGGTTTTCAGTGAAAGAGAAAATATTCGTCTCTGCCATCCTTGGTTGAAGCCAGCAGCCTCTCTCTACACACATTCTGTTGACAACCACGGTTTGGGGCTCCCTGGTGTAAACACACTTGGTCTCACCCGTGAAATGAGTGGGGATGAAAAGCCTTCTCCACCTGGGAGGGAAATACCTGTTGGAGTCAAGTGTTTCTGTCATGGTCGCCAAGGGCAATGGGACCAGCCTCCACTCCTCCCCTCCAAGGTGGTAACGGAATTCCTGCTGACGGTAATGGTGGCTCCCTGCAGGACGTGCCAGGCTAGCTCCCTGGTCCGGGGTCACCCGTGCAGAGTCAGCTGGGTGCTGGATTGTTGAAGACATTGAGTGAAGCCGAGAGAGGGGGTGAGGATCCCATTTTCAAGGTGCATTGTTCCTTTCTGTGGGGACTTCTGTAACTGATCCAGGTAACAGGAGATCACCTGGGGATAGTTTCAAAGACGAGAGCAGCCGGGCGAAGAGAAATCACGGCACATCTAGACGGCCGAGAATCAGGACAGTGCCGCAAATCACAGAAGAAGGAGCCCCTCGGTCCCTTTGTATTTAAAATGATCCACAAACTTGCAAAAAAGGGGACATCCCTCTATGGTTTGAATTATAATTTCAAATGCTTTTTTTAAATTATTGTCATCAAAAGGATAGATGAATTTTCAGGCCCCCAGGTAAAATGTGGGTCCTTCCCCTCAGCTTTGCTGCCAGTGCTTATAACCCCACGGCCTCCAGTTTCCCAGGGGTACTCCCTGTTTTCACAGGCCCTGGGGCAGGAAACTCTAGAAAATTAGCTGCATCTAAGACTGGAGAGCTAAGATAAGAATGAGGGAAATGATCATTGAAACTGTGGGGGTTTCCCTTCAAGTTCTAATTGCATTTAAAACAGGTACACAGCATTCCTTCCAGAATCATAACACTCAAGTTGAGGGGTCCTTCCTAATCTTCCTTCTTGTCTCTGAGAACAGCTGTTCATACTAATTATTCTCAGCTGACTTAAAGTTTACAGAGGCTCTGAGGTTGTCCACTAAAAATATACTTTATCAGTCAATATTTGGGTCCGTGCTGTTTTTAAGAGGAGTTGTGTACCAAAAAAAAAAAAAATGTAACCCAGGCCTTTGGCCCCAGAGGCGTCACTGTTTGTCTGGTGTGACAAGGAACAAAGTTTAGAGGGCAACACAAGGACTAACAGAATTCTGTGTTCAGTTAGGAGTTGCCAACTCCCTGCATGGTCAGAGTCAGAAAGGCACAGGTCTCTGTGCACTGCAGGCAGGAGGCTGCGTCACCCAGGAGCTGAGCAGAGCCACTCCCGAGGGAGGGCAAGTCAGAGCCACCACAGTGGCCTGTGAGGCTCATCCATCCAGTCCCAGGAACTGGCAACACCTCAGCTAAGGAACCCCAGGAGCAGGAGGGGCTCTGCCAGTGAAGCTGTGGACTCTGAGGGTCAAGGACACACAGCTACTCTTGCAGGCATTCCCATACTCGAGTACGGGCACAGAACAAACCCAGGGATTTCCATCCTGTTGCCCTCCCACTACAGACACCAGCAAAGTCACCCACTCCTGGCCTTGGTTCCTGTTAGTAACCCTGACTCAGTGTTGGGGGGCCACAGACACAGAAAGGACAATAGTCAAGAAGATTTCAGTGACTGCCCCCAAAGGGACAGAGATGAATTCCCAGCTCTACTTTACCACAAGCTGTGTGACCTTCAGCAAGCGACTTAACCTTCCTGGGCCCTCCCCATCTGCCAAAGGGGGGTAGCGGTTCCCTTGCAGAATGATTATGAAGGTTAAATAAGATTAAATAACAAATGTACAGCACTCAGCAAATTATTTGGTACATGTAACACCTGTAATAAGTGGTGGTTATCACTATTGATGTTCTCTTTCCTGGAAGGGAGGTGGGAAGACTGCATTAAGGATCACTGTCCCTTTTCCACCCTTTTCTAATCCACCGGTTATTTGATCACTAGGTGTTCTCATGTGGACAAAGTGCATTGCAGTACAGGTTCACCACAGTGCATTTCAAGGAGCAGAAACTTGATGATCTACTATTTTCATAGCCATTTGGCTTTTTTTTTTTTTCTGAGACTGGTAGAACAGGTTAAACTTAGAGAAAATTGTGCTAGGAGATGTCATGAAGACTTTAATTAGCTTCTGGATTTGACTCATCCCTGTAAATCCTAAAAAAGAAAAACACTGATGAAACACGTGCTTTCCAAAAGTGACTTAGCCATTCAGTAAACGTTCATGAAGCCCCTACTATGAGGCGGGTCCTGTGCTGTGTGCAGGCGGCTGCCTGACTGTGTGCTGTCTTTTCATACTAAAAAGTCTCATCAATCAGTATTCCTTAGATACTCAAAAAGAGCATGACAAGCACTTGGGTCCAGAATGATGTTGGAACTTATTTTTAAATGTGTTTAATTTGCCATGTATGTTAACAGATAAAAGAAAGAATATCCAGAGTATATGAAGATTGTCTGAAATCCCATTTAAAATCATACCAGACAACAGGCAATTCACAGAAAAGAGAACTTAAATTTGCCAATAAACACATGCAAGATACAATAGAATATTATGCAACAGTCAAAAAGAATACGTTGACATAGAATTACCACATGATCCGGCAATTCTACTTCAGGGTATACACCCCAAAAGAACTGAAAGCAGGAGTTGCACCCCCATGTTCATGGCAGCATTAGCCACAATATCCAGAAGGTGGAAACAACCCGAGTACCCATCAACAGACAATGGGTCATATATACATGGCATGAACTATTATTCGTCCCTAAAAAGGAAAGAAAATCTGACTCATGGTATAACATGGGTGAGCCCTGAAGACATCACACTAAGTGAGACAAGCCAGACACAAGAGGACAAATACCGTGTAATTCCATGTAAATGAGGTGTCTGGAGTAGTGAACTTCATCGAGGCAGAAGTTGAAGAGTGGTGGCCCAAGGCTGGAGGGAGGGAGGACTCGGGAGTTGGCGTTTCATGCGTGTGGAGTTCGGTTGGGGAAGACGGTTGCATGACAATGTTAATGTCCTTAATGTCATTGGACTATACACTTCAAAATGGTGAAAATGGTCGGTTTTATGGCATAGCTATTTTACCACAATTAAAAAAAATACTTCCAAGCTGGAACTCCAAAATAACTATCGAACTTTTGTCCTTTTCTCACTTTTAATTATGCTTAAGGAATAGTCTTGCTTTCTCTCTCATCACTGAAGTTTTTCAGTGTGCTTTTATTATTTAAAAATGTAAGGAAAAAAAATAAGGTAGACCCAGAAAGAGGTTTAAGATAAATCATTATGTGAAAAGGTTGATTAATACGCTAGTTTTTCATTTATGTTATGGAAAAAAACACACTATATATGTAAAAGCATAGAGAAATGTCTCCAAGAAAACACCCCAAACTGGTAACAAAAATTGCTCCCAAGAAGGAGAATGAGAGGCAAATGGGAACTTCTGATTTATCTTTATTGTTAAATAACTTAAAAATAGATCCATAAATCCCCAATACCAGGGGAGGGGGCCTGGGGTCTCCTGCCCAGCGGGTTTGGCAAGCCAGACCTATGACGACCATATCTGACTGCAAAGACATCCTGAAAGTGACAAACAGGCTAACACAAGCCCAGGGCAGAAGGAGACCATTCAGAGTACCCATTGCCTGTCAAAAAAAAAAAAAAAACCCCATACTTATAAGATTATGAGTCTCCATTTTTGGTGTGGAAAACATGGCTACCACAGTCCTACTCTGAAAGACTCAGAGGTAACAGCTCGGCCTGGAGCCAGAAATATAGAAGTATAAATACCATGAGACCACATTATATGGGTATGATGTAGGCAAACTGTTTAACCCCCCCAAACCTCAGTTTCCTCATCTGTAAAATGGGCATAACAAGAATACGGCTTCAGGTAGGTGTGGGGAAGTTGAGAAGATCAGAAGATGCCTGGCGTACACCAAACACCCCATAAATACCATTGATATCAAGTCAAGTCATTTCCTTACAAGGGCAGCTGGAAGTTAGGCCTTTCAAAAACCAAAGCCAAAGCTATTTCTCTCCCTTGCACAATACCTGGCATTAAGGAGGCATATTCTAAATAGGACCCTGAGCCTCACTCATCCATGGTTCTCAATCTTCAGTGGGCATCCACATCATCTGAGGGGCTTGTTCCAACTACAGATCCCCAGAGTCTGATCCCAGAAATTGTGATTCAGTTGGTTTGGACTGTGGCCCCCAGAATCTGCATTGCACCTCCAGCCCTGTCCTAGGAGTAACGTTTGGGAAAGAGATGAGGCAGAAGTCAAATATCCCCATACCCGAAACTGTTCTTTTCCCTTCTCTGCTTTCCCTTCCTTCTCAAGAAGAAAATCACCCCTCCTTTCCTTCTCCTTCCCCCAGAGTTTTGGGGAGTACAGTTTCTAGAAAGGATGCCCTTGCTATTTCAAGACGAAGTCTCAACAGGACTGTTTTTAAAAGAGAAGGGGTGGGGGACGGAAAAAGGAAACGACGGCTGCTGGGAGAGAGTAGGGGGACAGTAGGAAGGCCGAAGACTTCGAAGTGCTTGGCATTTAAACTCAAAAGACGACAGATCCTTAAGAGTCCCGTGTGACAGGCAGACAGACCTTTTCCGTCCTCCAGGACAAAATCCAAAGAGTTTTCCAGTTGGAGAAAGAGCGGAAATGAGAGAGAGAGGAAAAAATGGGCTGGAGGACAGGAGGGTGGGGAACATGGAGGGAGGCAAACGGATGTCCACGGGACGGAGCGACGGAACTTGGACGTGCGTTCAGGGCGAGACAAAGGGTCCCTTTTTCTGTACCTTTTACACTAAATAAATAAATAAATAAAAATAAAAACTTACCTAATGCTTTCTTTGGATTCCTGCCTCTCTGCAAACACCAACTAATGAATTCGCCTGCCCAGGACAGCCCCTCCAGAGGGAGGTAAACAGTCACGGGCTCTTAGGCCATATCTGCTAAGTAAACCAGAACTACAATGGGCTAGAACTCAAGCAGCTTGTGTGGCGAGAGGCTGCGTACAGCTAATTAATTGCGTCACGTCTGTGGCTGATAAAGCAGTTCGAGTGAGTGGCTGTTTTTAAAGTCTCACGGCTTTAGTAGGAAATTGAAAATTAAAATAGTTGCTTCTTCGAGAGAGTTGAGGTTCCAGGATTGAACCTTTACTAGGGCCTCAAAGGAAGGGGTGAAGTTGCTCAGAGAAACTTGAGGAGCTGGGGTTGGTCCAGAGGGGTTAGAGCTCCCTGTCAAAGCCTGCTGCTAATGCAACCATTAGCCCAGACTTAATCCCAAAGGCAATAAAGACACGGGCCCCAACACAGTACTTGTGAATGACATTCAAGAGAATGCGTTTGTCCACTGCTAGCTCCGGAGGCTGTCCAGCTATGACCCGTCCCCCATCATACACACTCTCCCCTCTCCCAGTGGGCTTCATTATTCCTTTAACTACTACAGGAAATTTCAGACATGCCTATGAACCCCCTCACACAGGAACTTAGTTCTCAGCCTCAGCAATCAACTCCTGGTGAAGCTTTTCCACCTAAACCTCGAGGTTCTCAGACCGGAATGTGCATCAGAATCACCTGGGGGCCTTGTTAAATACATTAGTGGGCCCTCCCCTGGAGTTTTGGATTCAGCAGGTCCGAGGTGGGACCTGAGAATTTGCATTTTCAAGTTCGCTGGTGATGCCGATGCTTCTGGTCAGGCAGCCACACCCTGAACCACTGATCTGTATTCCCACTCTGCTTTTCCTTCTGGTATTATTATTATTATTACTATTTTATTTTATTATTGGCATTATTACAGACGTCCCTCATTTCTCCCTCTTTCCCCACTCCACCCAGCCCTCCCCCCGGCCTTCACCACATTGACTTCTGGTATTATTATTAAATCTAATCTCAGCCATCATGTATTTCATCTGAAATAAAATGTCATTACACCTAAAGAGTAATAATTCATTAATGTCATTGAATATATAGGAAGTGCTCAGATTTCCAAATGCCTCACAAAAGTCATAATTTTTTACGGTTTATTTTAACCAGAATCCAAATAAGCTGTATGTATTGTGATTACCTGTCTCTTAAGTCTCTTTTCATCTTTATCCCTCCTTCAACATTTTTATTCCCTTGCAATTAACTTGTTGAAGAGCCTTTCTTTTATTTTTAAGAGGTAGGATATTGTAGTGGAAGCTCTCTGGAGTCCAGCTGCGCGCTTGGCGCCCCCACCAGCCTTCTGACCTTGTTAAGTGAGTTAACCTCTCTCAGCGCAGGGAGACTGGTAAATGTTTAACGACCGGCTCTCTGGGGAAAAAACACAAGCCCTGATTTGTATGTTTGTTAATTTCTGTGGCGTAAAAACTGCCACCATGCCCCACGAAGGGGAGAGGCGGGAAGGCCGGCGCGGCAGCGCACTCTAACCCAAGACTCTCTCCGCGCAGACTCGGCACCGTCAATAGCCCCTGCAGCGTAGACACGAGTGCAAGGTAGTTAGTGGTTAGGAAGTGATAAATTTTGAGTATTTATTACCTTTGTGTTTAATATAGTTTACTTGGTTCTACGTTTGGGTAATTTAATTTTTAATGATGGTCGTGTTTAACCCCTAGCTTGCCAACCGGCGCTGGGTCCTTCACGCAGCTGCGGCTGCCTCTCACCGTTCTCACCCGTGAAATGGGAGGCACGATCGCAGTAACGCTTCGTGGTGAGCGTGAAAGAAGACCCACCACGGTGGGTGAGGGTGTTGGGGCACACAGTGAAGACTCAGTGTGAGTACTTGGTCATGCGGACCTCAAGGACAGAGTTAGTTACCCGCTCCCTCTGGCCGGGCAGGGTTAGATTTCTACATCCAGGGGAAGCTGGTTTCAGAGCTCCAGGGGAAGAAACAGCCAGAAGGGTGTGAGCTCAGTACCCTTGGGCCCAGGAATTGGCCCTTGGGCCTGGCTTGATTACCAGACAAATTCCAACTGCCCAGAAGAAATGCTATTTCAGGAGCTGACTCAGTCCTGCTCCACCCCTCCACTTTACACAGAGGCCACTTAAACTGTTTGCTAAAACCAAGACCCTTCTTTTGAGGTAGATCAGGTTACTGGGCAAGGTGATTATTGTTTCTAATGGTCTGCAAACAGGTTCTCAACTGTTAATCCCTCCAGCCTCTGGGACACGTGGGCAGACTAGACAGAGGCAAACTCCAGCCCCCGGAGCTCAGGGGTTTGAGAGATGCCACAAGCCTGAGGCTGGATTTAGGAGGGTCCTGTGCTAGTGAACAAGGTGAAGCTCAACTCCAGGCTGAGTGCTGGCACCTACACCCATTCCCCAAAGCAGCCCGTGACTCCCTCCTGGGGGTCTCACATTCCAAGGAGGCCCTGAGGTTAAGCCAGGGGCTGGAGAATTCGTAGGCATGCCAAACACTATCCACAGAATAAGTAAATAAGGGGCAGGATCAAGTGGCATTAAATCCTCCATGCCTGTTAGTTAGACTTTGAATTCTCAGGCCCCCACTTGCCACCTTTGGGAGCTTGGGCAAATCGCTTGGGCTCTCCAAGCCTCAGTTTCCTCATCTACACAATGGGGGTGATAAAGGGTTCCACCCTGTAGGGTTGTGGGCAAAATTATGGATAATGCATGCAGAGCACTTAGCAAAATACTTGGCACGTAATAAATACACAATAATAGCAGTTGAAATGGGAAAAGGTCGTGCTGGGGATTCAACAGTGTCACCGAGATCTCACGAAGGGAGGGGCACGACTGAGAAGAAACCTGGGACGAGGCGGCTGGGCAGCCAGGGCTCCCTGAAAAGAAAAACTCTTTAGAAACATATGATGTCTCCAGAACATTCTCTTGCCTCTTAGCGACATCCACAAAAATCTGTCTGATCAGCATAATGTGGAAGAACAATATTTAACATGGAAATAGGAATTTGTTGACACTCAGAGCCTTCCCTCCACTTGTGTGTTACCCCGGAGCAGGTCACAGCCCCGCATGCAGCAGGAGCCCCTTTATGTGAACGTTTTCACCTCGGAAGAGTCTGGGAGGGTCATCACATGAAATAAGCAGCAGCTAGCACAGACACATGAAATTTGGATGCGGGAAAATAAATTTTGCTTATTTCATTACTTCTATCTATAAACTATTGAACAGTTACATTCTACCTTTATTTCCTTTTAAATTTTAGATAAAACTTGCAATACTGAAGCAGACAGATCTTAATATACAGCTTGTAGATCTTAGATATACAGCTTGATCAGTTCTAACAAAGGCATACACCCTGTAATCCCACCCCGTCAAGACATGAAATGCGTTCATTACCCCAAACGCTTCTTCGTGCCTCTGCCCAGTTACTCTTCTCCTTCCCCCAGCCCCCATCCATCCACACCCCATCCTTCTAGCCCCAGCGAGGCCCTGGTTTCTAGTTTTGCCTGTTCTAGAACTTCATCTGAGCAAAGCCATACAGTACATACTCTTGAGTCTGGCTTCCTTCGCTCTGCATAGTGTCTGTGAGACGTTCCCATGTCATACGCGTATCCGCCACTTGTTCCTTCGTGCCGATGAGTGACATTCCATTGGGCAAACCTGCCACAGCTCATGCAGTCACCTGTCAGTGCACACCCGGGCTGTGTTCAGTTTCCGATGATTTTTTTGTATAATAACTCAATTATTATAAATAAAGATGGAAAGAAATTCATGACCAAGCCTCTTTTTTTGAGGACAAATGTTTTCTTGTTTTCTTCAAGGTAAATATCTAGAGGTGAAAGTGTTGGATTGAAATGAACTGCTTTCCGCATTCTTACCTAGGGCTTGATGAACCCCGGGCAGGATGAAATGGAGGCAAGGAGAATTGGTGGGGGGGGGGGGGGAGAGGCCGCACTTCTGAGCAGAAGATGCCATGAAGCAGCTCTTTGAATCAACCCCTCAGGGTCCCAGCTTCCTCACCTGGACAAGAGGAACAATACAGGCACGCCTCACTTTGCTGTTCTTTGCAGATGATGTGTTTTACAAATCGAGGTCTATCAGTGCCATTTTCCCAACAGAGCAGATGACCGTTAGCATTTTTAGCAATAAAATATTTTTTAATTGATGTATGTCCATTGGTTTTTAGATGTGATGCTATTGCACACTTAATAGACTACTGTGCGGTGTACACATAATTTTTCATGCACTGGGAAACCAAAGAGTTTGTGTGGTGCGCTCTTGTGCGATGATTTGCCTTGTTGTGATGGTCTGGCGCCGACACCGCACTATCTCCGACATGGTGGGTCTGTGATGGTTCAGACAGGGACGGTGGGAGTGGCTGTTTTCAGGTAGATGCACCGAGAATGTGGACGGCTCACTGCCAGACCTCTCGCCCTGACTTTGAGGTGGGGAGACACGCTCAGCACCCCCGTCAGCGAGCAGCAGTGGCGAAAAGACAATGCTCACCCTGGCTTTCTGAATGTGGCTAAGGAAGAATGAATGAGTGACTAGTTTAGATCCAGAAAGTTCTCCCAATACTGTCTCCCACTTACAGTTTACCAGGGCCAATTTCCCGTCTTCTGCACCCATTCTTCCTTCCTCCACCGTCCAACAGGGCAGGGGGTCCTGGTCCAGGTTTCACATGACGATAATATCTAAATTCTCCAGTGGTCCTGGGGATATAAAGTACAGCGTAGGGAACAGAGACATTACAGTGTAGGGAACAATAACATCGAAACAACTCTGTGTAGTGTCAGGGGGGTACTGGAAATATCAGGGGGATTGCTCTATAAAGAATATGATTATCTAACCACTATGCTGTACAACCTGAACTAACACAAAACAACACTGAATGTAAACTGTAATTGAAAAATAAAATTTAAAAACATTCTCTGGTGGGGTGAGCAAGGGTGCTATTGGGAGTGCAGCAAGCCACGCAAAAGGTCGCGGAAGGCACAGGGAGGCCCGTTCGCGT